CCGAACATCTGTGCTGTTGCAGAGCTTTTCCGTATTCACTGTAGTTTGGGTGGCAGGTTTGCGTGCACAAGTTTTAGAAGGCTGGTGATCTCCAGGCCCATGTGTTAACAGGGAGAGTTGGAACAACAACTTGGATTTGGCGTGCGTTTGAGAAAGTGGAATAGGGCAGCCCAGGACGGAAATGTCTGTGGCTGGAACTGAGGTGGGTAACAGTTTATCACACGGCGCTGCTCCTATGTGAGGCACGCCCCACTAGGGACCAGGATAAAGGTGGAGAAGGCATCCCGTCGAAGCCCTCCTGGCTTACAGGGGTTGGCGGGATTTAAAGCACATCCCATCGTGCCAGCAGGGCGGCTGACGTCCTGATAATCCTCCTAATTGGGGCGGCCGCCCATGGCGTGTTTTGAAGTTGGAAGCTCTGAGGACAGCATTCTTGTTCTTTTTTTGGAAGGGATGCCCTTGTCTTAAATAGCAATTTTTGCCTGCAGCTAAAAAGAATGATTACAAAGATCTTTCGATTTGGCCACTGAGTAACCCCTTAGGAGAGTTAGTTGCAGGGAATTAATTTTTGACTGTTTCTTTAAAGTTTGAGAAACTCTGCTAGTCAACCATGGACATCAGGAGGGGATCACTTAATGGACCCCTGGGCAGAGGCAGCTTTGCTCATGTTTCCTTAAGATAATGGCGGTTTGGGATTAACTTGGTTACTTTTTCAGCACTTTTTCCATTTCTACATTTATGTATCTTTCCCTTCAAAATGTTCTTAAGTCCTCTAAAGACACATCCTGTGCAGTTCTCCCAGGGATTTATAGCAGGGCTTATTTTTGAAAGATGGGACAGGCGGAGAAGTAGTGAGCAGGAGATCGGAGAGAAAGAAGAGCTTGCTTTGTTGATCACAGGGCATCGTTGTTGATGCTCCTCCTTGAACGTCTGCCTGTAAATTGCAGGGCTCTGCAAGTTTTGGGGAAAGCGTTTAAGTGAGTTGAAGGAAATGGAGACTGCATTCTCTACTCGCCGGGTGCCTGAGGGCCAGGGTTCAGGCTCTAGCTAGGGTTGGGGTACTGGGGACTCAGGGCTGTGCAAGGATGGGATGGGTCTGATGCTGGCACAAGGCCCTTTCAGATGTACAAGGGCCACGCTGCTTGATACTGTGCCATCTTCTGCTCAGCCGTGGTCATGGTCCAGGATGCTGGGGTGGTGCTGCTGAGCTGGGCTAGAGGGGGCTGTGTTTGGGGGCTCTGGTGATCCACGAGCGAGAGTGTCTGTGTTTCCCCAGCACTCCTGGAAGGCCCCAGCAGGGCAAGAAGCTGCCTAGGATGAGAAGAGGAGCCTAAGTGCCAGGTGTGTGTTTGCCTGGATGTCCCTGGGGTCTGGATGTTGTGGGCTCTGAGGTGGTCACTGGATTTTATAGAAGGAGGCATTTGCAAGGGACTTCAGTGACACATGGCTGTTGCTTCTTGTTTCTCTGTGCCTGACATAGGAGGGGGACGGGTTGAGGGTGTGAAGGACATGCCTAGAAAGGCATGTGGCTGGTGACTGGGAGCATGAGGGCTGGGACCAGGGTTCCCAACTGCACGTGTGCACTTTGTACTGAATACCCTGTGTTGGCCGTGACCCTGTGACCTGCACGCTGACGGGTGCACAGCTGCTGGCACACAGCTGTCTGGCACGGAGGCTGCTTCTCTGGGCGCAGACCCCACAGGAGCTGCTGCTCTGAAAGAAGGCAGGAGCCGATAGCCATAGAGCGCAGAGTTTTGGTGATTGGTGTGAGTCTTTGCACCGAACAAATCTCATTTTGCTTCATGCTGCACTTGAGGCCTCCCTCTTACGGCCCTGACCAGGCCTGGGCTCCTCCTCGGCGAATCCTATCGTCGTAGCTGGCTTCTGGCAGTTTAATTCTCTTGAACTAGAGAACTGTCTTGACATTTAACGTCCTTTATAGATAAACGTTGGAGGTCTAGGGGATTCTGTAAAATTATTTCAGAGCCACCAATTTCCAGGATTTTAGTTGTTTTTTTTTTCCTCCCTGTAAACGTATTTTCTATGATTGTTCACACTGTAAGGTTTTTATACCACATCCAGTCACTAAGTTAGATATAAACAGTGTGCTTCATTCATACTTTGAATATCAGATTCAGCATTTTTGTGGGGGAGTGAACTGGGGCCTGGGGAAAGATAAGGCTTCCTGTGGATCACTTGCCTTGTAAAATCATCATAAATCATTACACAGCCATCCACAATGTGTGCCAAGACCAAAATCATTTAAATTAGCTTGGATTGAAAGGTCATTTAAGAAATCTTCTTGGTAAGCTTATTTGTTTCTCCAGTTTTGGGGGAAATTTTAATTTTTTTTTTTTTTTTCTGAGATGGAGTCTTGCTCCGTCACCCAGGCTGGAGTACAGTGGCGTGATCTCAGCTCACTGCAACCTCGCTTCCCGGGTTGAAGTGACGTTCCTGCCTCAGCCTCCCGAGTAGGTGGGACTACAGGTGTGCACCACCATGCCTGGCTAATTTTTGTTTTTTGTTGGAGCAAGTGGGTTTTGGCTCCTCCGGGCGGGCATCTCTCTCGTGCCCACTCTGTTGCTTGGCTGTGCTGGGTGCGTCCCTGGAGGAAGGAGCAGAACCTCTGTGTTGCTGCTTTTCACTTGCTGCTGAGGCTGCGCCTGTTTCCTTAGGTGCCTCCAAAGCTTGTCAGCAGGGGGCTTTCTAGAAAGACATTGTGAAGCCTGTAATTCTTGGTAAGGTTTCTACCTGGCGCTGTATCTGCCTGCGAGAGGGTACAGCATGGGGTCTTTTCAGGAGGCTGCTGTCTTGCTGTTGTCTGGGCCCTCGGGAGTTGAAGTATTAATACAAAATGCTCAGAATCCCAGACCCCCGTGGGGGAGGTTTGGGGACACGGGACACGCTTGACACCCAACACTGATTTTTTAGCTCACGCCCCTTCACCGCCTCAGGTCTATTATCAGTGTTCTTTTCTGCGTCCCATCTGCTTCTGTGAAAACCTTCCAGGCTGCAAAACTCAGAGCAAACAGGGACCTGCCACCCCAGGTCTTTTCCAGGGAGACCCTGTCATCTTTGCATGGAAGCTGTGTGTGGATGTGTTGTGTGTTTCTCAGCCAGAAATTCGGAGCTGCTTTGGGTTTTATAGATGTTTAAGTTGGAGTTCTTAGTGTGTGTGAGATTGTAGGTTTATAAAAACACGCTTCCTTTCTGTGTGAAATCACTTGGGTTTTCAGAACATCGCCCGTCTGGGTGCCTCACTGTGCAGGTCTGGAGCCGGCCCCGGAAGGGAAACCCTCGCTGGGCCCTTGGAAGCAGGAAATGGATTTGTTCTGTACAGAGATGAGCGGATGAGCAGAGCCTGTCCCTGGGGAGCTGTCTGTGCAGCCCCTCCCTCTCGAACACACTCAAGCACTGACCTGAGAGACTCGGCATCTCTCATATCCTTCCTAACCGGCTCATCATTCTGCTTCTTTCCCTTACCCTGTGTCAGGTGGGATTCCTGTTTTTACTGAAGAGTTGCTTTTCTCCTTGCACCATTTAGGCCTCTTTGGTTGGATACAAGCATTTTGATTCATGCATCCCCCGTCCTTGGTGGGGGCCCGTTCTGTGCTGGACACAGGTACACTCTGGCAGGCTGCCCTTTGCCTGTGTGCCTGGAGGGAGCGGGCCTCTGCCCTCCTCACACTCTGGTGGGTGGGATGGGCATGCAGGTGGCGGTGGGCATGCAGGGTGGTTGATGCTGTTTTCGGGCTTGGGCACAATCTCTGGGAGCAGACCCACCCTCACTAGGAGGACGCTGTGAGAATTTGACCTGTGGCATAGTAGAGGGCAGAGAGGAGAGGCCGCATGGTCTCAGGAGGTTGGGGATGGGGCTCTTCAGCCCATCTGGGGATCAGCACTCAGTCCTGTGCCAAAGCCTGAGGTTCCTTTTTGGGGAGAGTGGGCAGGGGACCAGGGGAGAAAGCACAAAGCCCAGAAGGAAAGGCGATTATGAGCCAGGCCAGAGAACGGGCTTTGTCTAAGGGGCGGCAGGCACCACGGCCAGCAGGGGCTGGTCTGTAACTAATCTCGTGGTCAAGCGCACACAGAAGTAGAGTCAGGCAGGACGGCTTCAGTTGCAGGGTCCTGGAGCTGGCACTTGGGGAGCTCAGGGCGTCCTTTCCACACCGTGTTGGTTCTCCTTTATGAAGTCGTCTGTGCTCTTAGCAAAAGACTCATTTCTTTAACGTCTACACACAATTACATACAGGCACACACTGCACAGGGATGTGCCAGTGTTGGACCACGTATACTACAGTGGTGCCATTGCATTACAGTGCTGTAATTTGCCATTGTGTTACACTTACCTACAGCCTTCAGTAGAGTAGCTCGCTGTATGGGTTTGTAGCCTAGGAACAATGGGCTTCACCATATAGCCTAGGTGTGTTGTGGGCTGTGCCATCTGGGGGTATATGTGTGTCCACGGTAGTATGTCTGCACAGGGACGAAATCGCCTAACAATGCATTTCTCAGCTCGTATCCCATTGGCTAAGTGGCATGTGACTGTTTGTGAAGTGCCATCAACTGTTGTCACCACCTGTGCAGCTCACCCTCCATCAGCCCAGGAACTGGGCTGTTCCCAAACCTTGCTTTCCTCTGTCCCTGATTCCCACATGGTCTTGCAGAGTAGCTTGTATTCCTCACACTCCTACACACTCTGGTACTACAGTCTCTCCTTAAAGATTCGATGCCTTGTTGGGAGTAGATAATTATTTTGGTGCACAATCATTAACAATTATTTATGTTAATGATTTAACACAATTCATTATTGATAATTAACATGCTGATTTTTAATAAAGAGAGCGGCTACTCTTGCCTCTGTTTGAAGTGGTGTTGGTGCCCCTTTTCTTAGTGTGGGTTGGATGGGTATGTTTTGGGGAGCATGTGGGGGTTCCCGCAGCCATGCCGGTGCCCTCTTCGCCAGGAGCTTTGCTGATGATGTTCCGTCTCTGTTTTAGGTGCTGGCTGCCAGCTGCTGCGCCCCCGATGTAGAAGGTGCACCTCCTGGGAGCTGGCCCGTCTTTTGGCTCTTCTGACCATGGAGAGATAGGACGGTCCCTGCAGCCCGCGCGAGAGAAAGCTGTGCCGCCACCACCGGCCGCGCCCGTCCTTCGGATGGATCGCAACAGAGAGGCCGAGATGGAGCTGAGGCGAGGCCCCAGCCCCACCAGGGCCGGCCGGGGCCACGAGGTGGATGGGGACAAGGCTACGTGCCACACTTGCTGCATCTGCGGCAAGAGCTTCCCCTTCCAGAGCTCGCTTTCGCAGCACATGCGCAAGCACACGGGCGAGAAGCCCTACAAGTGTCCCTACTGCGACCACCGGGCTTCCCAGAAGGGCAACCTGAAGATTCACATCCGGAGCCACCGCACGGGGACTCTGATTCAGGGACACGAGCCAGAGGCGGGTGAGGCGCCGCTGGGCGAGATGCGCGCCTCCGAGGGCCTGGACGCCTGCGCCAGCCCCACCAAGAGTGCCTCGGCCTGCAACCGGCTGCTGAACGGGGCCTCACAGGCCGACGGCGCCAGGGTTCTGAACGGGGCCTCGCATGCCGACAGCGGCAGGGTCCTGCTGCGGAGCAGCAAGAAGGGCGCGGAGGGGTCCGCATGCGCCCCCGGGGAGGCGAAGGCCGCAGCCCAGTGCTCTTTCTGCAAGAGCCAGTTCGAGCGTAAGAAGGACCTGGAGCTGCACGTGCACCAAGCGCACAAGCCGTTCAAGTGCAGGCTGTGCAGCTACGCGACGCTGCGGGAGGAGTCGCTGCTGAGCCACATCGAGAGGGACCACATCACCGCGCAGGGGCCCGGCGGCGGCGGGGCCTGCGTGGAGAACGGCAAGCCTGAGCTGAGCCCCGGGGAGTTCCCGTGCGAGGTGTGCGGCCAGGCCTTCAGCCAGACCTGGTTCCTGAAGGCGCACATGAAGAAGCACCGGGGCTCCTTCGACCACGGCTGCCACATCTGCGGCCGTAGGTTCAAGGAGCCCTGGTTCCTCAAGAACCACATGAAGGCGCACGGCCCCAAGACGGGCAGCAGGAACAGGCCCAAGAGTGAGCTGGACCCCATCGCCACCATCAACAACGTGGTCCAGGAGGAGGTGATCGTCGCCGGCCTGAGCCTCTACGAGGTCTGCGCCAAGTGCGGGAACCTGTTTACAAACCTGGACAGCTTGAACGCCCACAACGCCATCCACCGCCGGGTCGAGGCCAGCCGCACGCGCGCCCCGGCCGAGGAGGGGGCGGAGGGGCCCCCGGACACCAAGCAGTTCTTCCTCCAGTGCCTGAACCTGAGGCCGTCTGCGGCCGGCGACGCGTGCCCAGGCGCACAGGCCGGACGGCGGGTGGCCGAGCTGGACCCGGTCAACAGCTACCAGGCCTGGCAGCTGGCCACGCGGGGCAAGGTGGCCGAGCCAGCCGAGTACCTCAAGTATGGGGCCTGGGACGAGGCGCTGGCCGGGGACGTGGCCTTCGACAAGGACAGGCGCGAGTACGTCCTGGTGAGCCAGGAGAAGCGCAAGCGCGAGCAGGACGCACCGGCCGCTCAGGGGCCCCCGCGTAAGCGCGCGACTGGGCCTGGGGACCCAGCTCCCGCTGGCCACCTCGATCCCCGCTCGGCCGCGCGCCCCAACCGCAGGGCCGCAGCCACCACCGGCCAGGGCAAGTCCTCCGAGTGCTTCGAGTGCGGCAAGATCTTCCGCACCTATCATCAGATGGTGCTGCACTCGCGCGTGCATCGCCGCGCGCGCCGCGACAGGGACAGTGACGGGGACCGCGCGGCGCGGGCCCGCTGCGGATCACTCAGTGAGGGTGACTCGGCTTCCCAGCCCAGCAGCCCCGGCTCCGCCTGTGCCGCTGCCGATTCCCCAGGCTCTGGCCTGGCGGACGAGGCTGCCGAAGACAGCGGTGAGGAGGGCGCCCCCGAACCTGTACCAGGTGAGCAAGTGTACCCAGGTGGCCCAGGTCCTGGGATCCCAGGCTCAGGGGGTTCCTGCTCCCAGGTAAACGTATAATCAGGTAGCCTCGCTCATTAGCCCGTTATCCAGCTAGACCTGTGCTCAGGTGACACTGGGCCTCAGGACTCCACGCCCAGGCGGCCTTGTGCCCTTGCCCAGGGTCCCTGTGCCCAGGTGACTCCACACCCAGGAATCTGTCCCCAGTATGGACCTGGAGCTCGCACTGCTGAGTGCAGATACAGACACCCATCAGGTCCCCTTGCAGCCCCTTTCAGTGTTTGCATACACACACCTTTGACCTCTAGGGTTGATGGTCTCACCTGAGCATCTGTAATCCTAATTTCTGAGCAAAGAACACCATCATGGATCCCTTCTGAGACAAATTCCCTCCCCTCCCTTTTCTGCCTCAGACCCAGTTCTCACCATACGATGCGCGCGCGCGCAGACACACACACACACACACACACACACACATACACACACACACACTCAATTTCCTCCACTCTAGCTGGGTAGAAGACTGTCTTCAAATTGGTGTGCAGTTATAATTAATCTCCTTGGATTCAAGTAACCCTGGGGGTTTAGAGACAGTTAATTGGAACAGATTACTTTCCACATAGCAGCCATGTAAATATTTAAAGATGCTTGGCTAACTTTGTTTTCATAATTCTCCTACTTTCTATAAATTTTAAGCATTTTGATATTTTCTTTATTATTTTTTGCTTTGCATAATTGTTTTAAGTGGAAAGTGATGTTTCAGTGATAGAACTTGCATGTTTCTCCACAAAGCCAAAGATGTTTTTCCCTTCTCTGCAACGCTGTTCCTGACTGTTGCTTTTTACCTGGACTTTCAAGAGTATTAGAAATCAAAGCCCGGGGCAGGGCTCTTTATATTCTGTGGTGAAGAAGATGACTGCTATGCTATATTATTTCACAACAAAACAAAAGACAGTGTCATTTTTCCTTGTTAGAGATTTGGCCAAACCTGGACAGTTTATTACAGTCTTATGCAGTGTGTTACATGAGGGTCTGTTACACTGAAATGCATATTGAGTCAACAAATATGTAGAAGGCAAGTCTTTTCTCCTGTGGCAAAACCTGTGCTGAATCCATGCCCAGGTTGTGAGTGTCTACATAGGTAAATGAGTCTTCAGTAATGTGAATTTGAACTTCTCATTTCTTAGTCATTGGTCCCCGTGGGAGAAACAGGAGAACATGGCCTTCTCTGAAAATGCAGTGACCATTCAGTGAACATGTTTGGATTCTTTGAATAATTTGTCATGTGAAACCGGGTTGACCCCCTCATGACCCTTGGTTGACGTCTTTTAAGTTTAATTCTTGGTGTTCTTTTTTTATTTTTATAAATATAGATTTTACTGGTTATGTTCCGGCACTTTTTGGAGCACATGCTGGATAAAATATTGGGCTAGTACTATGGGTTTTTTTTGTTTTTTTCCACTTTGAACAGAAATATTCTTAATATTTGGAAAAGGTCTTGGGCCTCACTCACCCCATTGATTATGATGGTGGTCACATGATTCATAATAAGCTAATCCAGCAGTGCTTTTAGAAATAAAGAAGTTGGAAAGATCAAATGATTTCCATCATAAATTGGAAGATACTCTTTTTTCTTTTCAGACTCATTAAATTTTAGAGACTGATTTTTTTTGTTTTGTTTTGTTTTTTTTGAGACTGAGTCTCGCTCTGTCGCCCAGGCTGGAGTGCAGTGGTGCGATCTCGGCTCACTGCAAACTCCACCTCCCGGGTTCACGCCATTCTCCTGCCTCAGCCTCCCAAGTAGCTGGGACTACAGGCACCTGCTGCCCTGCCCGGCTAATTTTTTGTATTTTTTAGTAAAGACAGGGTGTAACCGTGTTAGCCAGGATGGTCTCAATCTCCTGACCTCGTGATCCACCCGCCTCGGCCTCCCAAAGTGCTGAGATTACAGGTGTGAGCCACCGTGCCTGGCCCTAGAGCCTGCTATTTATGTCTTAAAGACATTATGTATATTTTTCTCTATATGTAACTTTTTGAGAAAGTTAATATAGATCTCAGCTGATTCTGTAACAAGACATATATCATAGTTGAATGTAACGAACAGTTGGTGATAGAATAAATAGGATATTTCAGCTTATTGAGAGAGGACAGAAATTTATGGTGCGACAGAGGCATAAAACATGCAAGAGCCTTGTTAGGTGTATGTGGGTCACTTTCCGTAATCCCAAAGGACAGTATCTTTCTACCTAAAAACACAAATTTTTCACTTACAACAGCCCCTTTAATAGTCTAGTGTAGCAACAAATTACTAATTCGTGGGTATTCCTTAAGGAGAGAGACCATGTTCCATCGATTTAACTACTCTCAAAACACTGCGATTTGCGGGATTTGGCCCAGGTCTTTCACAGGGCTAGCCTGGAAAAGAAACTGGGTATTCTGAATCTTAACGTTTAAATCTGCGACGGTCCTTTCTTTTTCTGAAAAAATACACGCAACTTTGAAAAATGCTTGTCTTTCCTGTTACTAAAAAGATGACTTAGTTCTTTGAGCATTAGGTTATTTTAAATTCTCAGAACTCTGATGGGATGATTGGTTAACACTGTTAGGTAGAGCAGCTATGTAGAAATTGAGGAACGAAAGATAACGGCAGTCCTCATAAGCAGCGGCCAGCCTGCCTGTGGGAGCAGAGTTGAAATTAGAATTCAGATCTATGCGACCATTCCAGTAAAACTCAGTTGTGCCATAATTTTACCCGAACATTTTCTTTGACATCTAGGAATTGATTTGAATGCTGTTTCTGGATCTGGAAATAATTTGCATTATTAGATTAACTGAAAGAAACTCCTCTCCTTTTTTTTATGGAACATGTTTCCTCAGTTGAATGTTGCCATCTATTCCTCTGGAAAGTTCCGATATTCACGTTACTTTTATCCCCATATAAGACTTGGTCGCAGCAGCTCTCATTATTGACTTAAAATAGTAGAAGTGCAAAATTCTGAAAAAAGCCAGTCATTGGGAATATGTTACTAGATTTAAATCTTCCACTGAGAAAGGGACGTGACATGAACAGAAAGTCCACTTTTGGACTTCACAAAAAATTAATATTTTTAGTAGGAAAGAGGGGTGAAAGGGCATCTAATTGGAGTTTATAAAAATCAACATTTCCCACATTCCCAAACACAAGGAAGCTCAGGGAGCTTAGAAACCATCACTAAGGAAAAACGAATATTGCTTTGCAAGGAGACATACAAACCTTCAGTGTATGGGCTGAAATAGAATTCTGCTCAGAAAGCATTTAGGCGATTCAGGAATAACAGAAGCACGCAGAGAGTCTGCACATCTCTGGAAGACTTGCTCTCAGAGTTCATGCCATCCTGAGAAGTGCCTGGACTGGGCTGCCTGGTGCCCAGGCCACGGCAGATACTCTAAGGTACTCGTAATGCGCAGTCCATCGTTTAGCTGCATGCCATTCAAGACTAATTTTACTACTCCAGTTTCTCACCACTTCTTGTTATGCTAATATCTGTCATGTAAAATCCGTGTTCCGTCCTGTTGAACCCACCCTCACTTTTTAGATACTCACTGCGACTCAGTAGATGGGACACCCTCAAGTTTTAGATGACGTTGTGGGAAGTTAGAAGTACAGTTGGTCTTCTGTATCCGTGGATTCTGCATCTTTGGATTCAACCAACCACAGCCTGAAAATATTAAAAAAAAGATGGTTGTTTCTGTACTGAACATATACAGGCCTTTTTTTTGTTATTATTCCCTAAACAGCACAGCAGAATTTATAGAACATTTACATTGCCTTATTATAAGTAGTCTAGAGATGACTTACAGTGTACGAGAGATGCGGTTAGGTTACACGCGGGTATTTACACCAGGGACTTGAGCATCCTGGATTTCGGTATCGGGGGAAGGCCTGGAATTGGGGGAAGTCCCACAAGAGACGATTGTGTTCAACTGTTTTTGATCAACATAATGGCAAATTCTATGACTCAACTTAAGAGAATAAAAAGAGTGGTTGAACAATTGCCTTGGTATTATATGCAATTTGAAGAATCAAGGAAAGAGTGTTTAAAGAAGAAAAAAATGGTCAAGGGAAGGAAAGGTAATTAAAGGAGGAAATGGATCTACCTTCAGAGTGTCTCCTGTTTCCCATCCCCTGGCTGGCTGCCTCACTGCCGCCCTGCAGCCCAATAGCCCCGTCCTTACAGCCCATCTTCTTTCCACCGTCACCAACCACACTCAGGCTTTTGCCGTAAGGTATTTGCCGAGCTCGTGCTTGGAGGCTGGCTGGCTGTCCGTGCTGGTGCGCTGGCTGTGAGGAAGGCCAGGCTGTAGTTGTGCGGCTGCACAGAGGTTCCACAACCATCCTTCCTTCTTTCTAATAGAACTACAGACAGCAATTAGAATAGCTTAGGGAGGGTGAGAGACAGTGTGTGTGTGTGTGTGTGTGTGTTTTAGACAGGTCTCGCTCTGTCACCCAGGCTGGAGTGCAGTGGCACAGTCTCAGCTCCCTGCAACCTCCACCTCCGGGGCTCATGCCATTCTTTCACCTCAGCCTCCAGAGCAGCTAGGACTACAGGCGGTGACCACCACACTTGGATAATTTTCGTATTTTTTTGGTAGACATGGGGTTTTGCCATGATGTCCAGGGTGATCTTGAACTCCTGGGCTCAAGCGATCCACCCACCTCAGCCTCCCAGAGTGCTGGGATTCCAGGCGTGAGCCATTGCACCTGGCCTGGAGGATGCGTTCACCCGTTGAAATAGGATTGAGGGTGAATCTGGCCAGCAGAAGGGAGAATGGAAAGAGGAGGTGAGCTGGGAGAGGTGTTTGCCTGTGTAGCCAAGCCTGCTGGGCGTGGACAGCCTTCACATGGTACTTCTTCTAAGCGTTTCCTCAAGGTAGAGCAGGAGGAGCTCTCAGAGTGCCTTCACGCATTGACTTTGCAGCCGAATCCAGTCGCGATGCTGAGTC